TATATATATATGGGTGTGTTCATTCAATTTATTTATATATACTTTTTTAAATTAATTTTTTCGCTCACTTGGCCTGTTAGAACGATGGCCACTTTACGACCTTCTAATCATCAACCTCGAGCAGGGTGAAGGAGGATAGCTAACCTTCGAACACCCTTGGTGATTAATAATTTTTTCTAAACTATTAACTTTACACCAAAATAACTGCCATAGACATAGAATAGACATAACGCTCCCAAATCACGCACAAAACAACATGACTTTCCCCAACACTAACATTCACAAAACACTTATGCCACAGCAACTCAGGCGACAATAACATGCAAGACACCCACCCCAACACAACACAAACACTTTAACTTAGGAGATTACGCTCTAAACTTACTGGCCTTCTTAACTGAACTCTGCACAATACAACCACCAAGCTCAATTACACCAGCAGAATTCGATGCGCTAATTTCGCACATCTGCGAAACAGCCAAATATTACTTCACACTCAACACACTCAAACCACACCACATCACACTGCGCATCGAAGCACGCAAGCAAAGAGCAGAACATTCAGAAACAAACTAAGTATACCATACGTAAATTGTCAAGGAGGCCTACACACCAAAAAAGTTTAAATCTTAAATCTTAGTAGCAAAATTGACTCTGGTATAATAATCATACCCGAGACATTATCAAAAGAAGAAAACAACATTAATATTTTCGGCTTCAAATCATTTACAAGACCCAAAGTTAACGAAACTAGAGGTAATGCCATCTTTTTTTCAAACAGTGCATCACCCCACACATTGAGATAGAGACAGACATTTAGTGAACTATTAATGATAGCATTTACTGCAACTTCCGGCTTAACAACAACCAAACCGTTTCTATATTGGCCATGTATTGTTCTCCGTATAAACAGATCGACTTTAACTTTCTACAAAACTCCTTAAGCATGAAACCCATTCCTTTACTAGTCAGTGACTTTAATGCCCTTCATACCGAGTTCCACAGTTACAGAACCTTTAACTTTCTACAAAACTCCTTAAGCATGAAACCCATTCCTTTACTAGTCAGTGACTTTAATGCCCTTCATACCGAGTTCCACAGTTACAGAACCAAAGCCAGAGGCTCCAGTCTTCACACATTTACTGGAGAACAATAACATGTACGTTATTAACGATAACAATCCAACACATTATCATGCAAACACGGATACCGACGACGTACTTGACCTTGCTATGACCTCCCCCCCTTTACCTTCCTCTCGGAACTTCATGTTCACCCTGACGTAACTAGCGACCACTTTCCTACCTCCTTTAACATTTCTTTCAAGAAACAGGAAATTCGTGTCAACCTTCCACGGATTTACAACTATACACAAACCGATTGGAGAAACGTTAATGCGACTCTTGACACATTTTTACCTGACGAAGTCAAAGCTATCTCTAACGAAACGACCTCGACAAATACGTAAACGACGTCACGGAAGCTATTTCGAAAGCAACAGAGATTTGTAATTCCTTCTTCAAACAAAAACAATGGACGTTAACACCAGAAATACACAAACTCATTAAAGAACGTAGAAGACTCAGACGACTTTTTATGACTACAAGAGGCCAGACATTAAAACCGCAACTTAACAGGACACATGCACTAATTAAACGTAACATTATCATCTTAAGAAATGAAAACTGGGCGAAATTTTGTCACTCACTAGCATCAGACGTGTTCATTTTTTTCCCCTGTGAGCGATTTGAATTTCTTCCAGAATTCTCTGGGTTGATCGTTACTATCGTATTCTGAAAAGGAACTGGTGTAATAATCAGCAACCAAGTTCGCTTTGTCTTCATTGATATTTTGTTTTAACGATTGATTAATTGTTGGGGATTTGATGCATGTCTGACGTCGACAAAGCGAACTTGGTTGTTGATTATTACACCAGTTCCTTTTCAGACATCAAATCCCCAACAATTAATCAATCGTTAAAACAAAATGTCAATGAACAAGTCTCATCAAGACCAGACTTATACATCCCACAATTTCCAACTACTATTACCAACGGTACCACTTCAACGCATGTACACGACATCCTTGAGAGACAAATCACAATGGTGACCTTGAAATTAACTTAGCAATGCTAAAATACTCCTTCCCCGGACAAGACGGTATAAGAAATATTATCTTAAAAAACGCTTCAAGCAACCTTCTCTGCCATCTCTTAAATATCAGGAACCTATCCTTCCCGTCAGGATACTTCATCGCTGTCTGGAAAAAAGCTAGAATCACAGTCATCCCCAAAACATCACCAGGAATCTGCGTTAGCCGTCCCTAGTTTAGCAGTGATAGACTAGAGGGAAGACAGCTAGTCAACACCACCTACCGCCAATTCTTGGACTACTCTTTTACCAACGAATAGTGGAATTGACTGTCACATTATAACGGTGACGGGAATTCGAACGTCCTAACCACCAGGCCATGTCAAGCCTATAATAAACCTTATGTATGAATAAGTTTAAAATAAAGTATTTTTTTGTATCGATAACTGTTTGTTTGTTGTTTAACGCAAAGCTGAGCAATGGGATATATTTGCTACACATACCGTAGGGCTCGAACCGCAAATTTTGTATGTAATGAGCCCTCAAGCTTATTGCTGAACCATGGCTTTATCAATAATAATTTTTGTATTTTTATGATTGCAGTAAAATGCAATATTTTATTTGCTTTAAACCAAAAGTTTTACATCATTTGTCAATAATTACAGTCTTCTGAGGTTTTAAGGTTAAACTAATAGTTTCTTAGATCTTCCATTAATGTGGATTAAACTTTTTATATTTTAGACATCATGAAAATAAGCAGTTTATAAAGTACAATTAAAACACGAATCTTAGAAAATTTTAACCGTGCATTTATTTGCTTAAAAACATCAAATAGCTGGGAGTAAGAACACTTACAAACAAAAATGTCAGTAATGATGCTTCTCAAAAACGCTACTTCCATTCATCAGGTTGGCTGATAACTAAAAATAAAGACTAACACTTAAAACTTGTTTATTATCTGTTTGTTTGAAGTTAAGCACAAAGCTACACAATGGACTATCTGTGCTCTGCCCACCACGGGTATCGAAACCCAGTTTCTAGCGTTGTAAGTCCGCAGTCATACCGCTGTGCTACTGGGGGGCTAATGTATATTGGTGTTAGCATGTCGGACTATAGATCCAGTAGTCCATGGCTAATGTCCCGTTCCCGCAAAATCGCGCCACACACTCTGAAGCTGTTGATATGTTATAACAGTGACGGTCAAATCAAACTATTCAATTAGAGTAACCCGAGAATTGGCAGATGGTGCAGTCAACTTACTGTTTCCCTCTAATCTATCAGTTCAAAATTATGGATACCTAGGGCAGATAGCCTTAGTAGTTTGCGCAAATATCCGAAACAAATAAGCAAATACAAGCTCTCTTGTTCTTACTGGGATCAGTGAAAAGCAAGTACTGTAATTTAGAGACATAACACGAAGTATAAAAATCGGATTTATTTCTTCATTAATAAAAGGTTAAGACAACTCAAACAGCAAAGAATAATGACAGTGTTCGTTTCTTCATGAATAAACAGTCAAGACAGTTAAAACTACAAAGAACAAATAAAAATAGGATTCGTTTACTCACGAATAAGCAGTCAAGACAAATGAAACAGCAAAGGATAAATAAAAACCGGGTTCGTTCCCTCACGAGTAAGGAGTCAAGACAAATGAAATAACAAATGATAAAAACTAAGTTTGATTCTTTCCTCACTAATAAACGGTGAAGACAATTAAAACAGCAAAGAACAAATAAAAACCGGGTTCGTTTCCTCACGAATAGAGTCAAGACAGTTGAAACAGAAAAGAACAAATAAAAACCGGGTTCGTTTCCTCACGAATAAACAGTCAAGAGAAATGAAACAACAAAAGCAAATTTAGCTAAATCGTTACCATTTCCACTATTGAGATTTTTAAAGCAATGATTTGTTTGTGTGTGAAGACGGAGAACAATGAGTACGTACATTTTTTTAGACTAATATTCAATCCTCAACGCATAAATGCTTTTTGTGATTTTTTTTCTCTATTTTAAATAGGATATAACTGTTTTCCACGCTTGTTATTTCAATGCTCGGGTATATTTTACATCGCGATATTCAAACATCTCGTCTGTCAAGCGATACAATTTGAAGACTTTTTGATAACTTTCCATTAATTAGTTATTTATATATAAGTTGCTTATGTTTATATGATATCAGATAGTTGTATGATAGTTTGATCAGCTTTAAAAGTAAATATTGAGGCGATATCACAACAACAAATAAAGTTACAATAAAGGTTGTCTGATCGAAGCCGGTTTCTTAAACTTCTTATTTTTAATTTTTCAGAGAAATAGTTCTGGTGTGTTTGTTCATTTGTAGTTAAGCACAAATCTGCACGATGGGCTGGCTATCTGAGCTGTGTTTATCGCAAAGATCGAACCCCTAATTTTAGCGTTATAAGCTTTGAAACTTACCGCTCTCAGAAAGGAAAGAGATATCAAGGTTTATTTGGGGTAAAGTTTGGTTCCTCGTGTAAAAAAATCTATTTTACTTAGACTCAATATATTCTATTTTTTATTGTTTGCTGTGCAAGTCACATTCCTGTTTTGCCTAGATCGGTAACAGGTATTATCATGGCAAAAATAATCTCTCCGAAACGGTTAAAAAATAACAAATAGAAAAATATAAACAACAATAAATCTCAAGTAATTTTTGTTTTTGTTTTGGCACTGCTAAGAGTTTTAAATTTCACACTCTCTGAGCACGCGTTCATTAAATGAAGTAGTCATTTAAAGTAACATCATGATTTATTAAAAAGAACAGTTTGACTTCTGCACCGAAAGGTAGCAAAACAAACCCTGTTTCTAATTATGGATAACAACATTATTGTGGTTTAACATTTAGCCATTTGCATTTTGTTTGAAATAAGCAAAATGAACAGTAACTTACAATCTTGTGGTTCAAGTGGGCCAGTTCTCTCTCTGCTATCTCTCGTTTATTCTGCTCTTGGAGGTGTCTCTTGAACTCGTTGATTCTATAAATTAGATACATTCCTGGAAAAGTAAAGACCACAACCGGTTTTTTTCAATGCGAAATTGACTTCTCTTGGCATATTGTATGGAACCAAGTAATTACAGTTATATTTTCTTGGAGAAATAATGGCTAATATAATTTAACTCTCATGTTCTCTGTTTAACGTACCTCTACTAATGAGAAAAGACTAGGATGAAACGTTCTCCGCATACAGGAGGCAGCAATGGATTGAACGCGGACCGAGGAGTGTGCAACATTAGTTTCAACACCAGTGACGTAATCAAGTAACTGACGTATCACATTCAAGAAGACACAAATGTCAAAACAGAGCCGCCGTTTCCTTGCTGGTTCAGCTGATGATAATCGATACATTTGTTCTTAAAGTAATTAAATCGTGATACTGAAAAAGTCGGGATCTAGAATCCACTAGTTCTGAAAAGTTCACTTTGAACGAATGATACAGAACAAGAGTGTCGTTTCAGGTTCAAATCTTGAATACAGAGAACCAACGCAGAATACTCGAAATAGATTTTAATAAAACGCAACCAGCAGTTTAGAAAGTCAGCTTAATGATACCTGAGACCCAATATTTTGTTACTCAAATCTGTTTCTAATAGACGACCATATAAATGGGTGTTTCATCAACGTACAATCGGTGAAAGTTATAAAACTACAAGTTAAATTGAGTTTAATTAATAAGTTTAAATATCTTAATTAATCTGAGTTTAATTTGAAAATTTGATTGAAATCAATTTGGAGTTCTTCGAATGAATTTGATCATTTTTTACAGGTCTCATTTCTTTACTTAGGCTATAGATACGTACAAGTTGAATTCTGTTTGTTTCGTATTTTTTAGATACGTACAAGTTGAATTCTGTTTATTTCGTATCTTTTAGATACGTACACGTTGAATTCTGTTTATTTCGTATCTTTTAGATACGTACCAGTTGAATTCTGTTTATTTCGTAACTTTTAGATACGTACCAGTTGAATTATGTTTATTTCGTGTTTTTCAGATACGTACAAGTTGAATTCTGTTTATTTCGTATCTTTTAGATACGTACGAGTTGAATTCTGTTTATTTCGTATCTTTTAGATACGTACAAGTTGAATTCTGTTTATTTCGTATATCTTTTAGATACGTACAAGTTGAATTCTGTTTATTTCGTATCTTTTAGATACGTACAAGTTGAATTCTGTTTATTTCGTGTCTTTTAGATACGTACAAGTTGAATTCTGTTTATTTCGTATCTTTTAGATACGTACAAGTTGAATTCTGTTTATTTCGTATCTTTTAGATACGTACCAGTTGAATTCTGTTTATTTCGTATCTTTTAGATATGTACAAGTTGAATTCTGTTTATTTCGTATCTTTTAGATACGTACAAGTTGAATTCTGTTTATTTCGTGTCTTTTAGATACGTACAA